CAAACTCCAAATCCCCCCCTCCCCAAACCTTAAACCCGAAACCCTGAACCCGAAACCCTAAACCCTAAACCCCCTAAACCCCCTAAACCCCCTAAACCCCCTAAACCCCCTAAACCCACTAAACCCCCTAAACCCTAAACCCTAAACCCAGACTGTTCGCTCTCCCCTAAACTCTGCCATCGAAGGCCGAGGCCGAAGCTGAGAAACAGACCGAAGCTGCGAAGGCCCGGGGTTTAGGGTTTAGGGTTTGGGGTTTGGGGTTTAGGGTTTGGCATTTGGGGTTTAGGGGTTTAGGGTTTTAGGTTTCAGGGTTTAGGGTGTTAGGGTTATAGGTTGCGGGTTTGGGGGTTAGCTTTTTTGGGTCTAGGTGTTGAGGGGATTTGGGTTTCGTGTATTGGCGTTTCTGGGTTTCGGGAATTAGGGTTTGGGAGTTTCGGGTTTAGGGTTTAGTGTTTCGGGGAATTAGGGCTTTCTTCGGTGCTGAATAAGTAACTTGCAATCTTCTCAAGCTATCTGCTGGAGAAACTGCAGTACACCGGTCGTGCGTTAACCTTTTTGGGATAATAAACCTTTTCTCAGCCACCAAAGGATCTGGTTAGGGGTGTGTAGGGTTTGTGTCTTCTGGGGTTGGGGTTTACAGATTTAAGGGTTGGGTTTGTCCTTGGAGTTCTATCTGGGCTTATATAGATTCGCGGGGTCGATATAGCCCCAGAGTCTCTCACACTTTTAGGTACGAAATTTGGATTCACATCACTTGTCGGAGTTCCTTTTTTTGCTTGTCTTTATTTCTACTTTTCTCTATCTTGTCGAGGGGCTCTTCATGCTGGTCGAGCTTCAGGGTGTATCATAGGGGTCGGAGTACTTACTAGTGGTATTCCCTGATGGTCCCTCTATAGTTACACTATAAGAACCCCACCCAAGAAAAAAATGGTATGAAAAAGCTATCCTAATCATCAATGCCCCTGTGTGAGGGTCCTCGGGTTTAGGGTTTCATGGACAGCCCGAGAGTCAAAACCCTTGATGTGTTGTGTGCCCGCAGTTGCTCAAAAAGCGCGTTGAGAAGGCTTTGCCATTGCGACTCGATTCTTAGGCACACACACATGGCGCCTTGCTTGCAAGCTTGGGCGGGCCTTTACAGCGTCGTGTGCCTCGCAGGCCTGGCAGGGGCTGCTGCCAGCAGCTCGGAGTCCTTGAGCGTGCCGAGCTTCGGCTTGGAGGACCAGCGTAGGGGTCGGAATAGTTACTAATGGTATTCTCTTACGGTCCCTCTATAACTATACCATAAACCCCCCCAAAAAATAAACCTATTCTAATCATTAATGCCTCAAAAGGACTACGCACAGTCCAGCATCCATGAGGGACTGGAGTCTTGGATGGAGAACTTGCAAAGTTTCGATCACGGCGAGAGTGCGGAGCCCGATGTGTTGCACAAGATGACACAAGCTGCTGGCAGCTTCTTGGCAGCCCAGTGGTACCCTTTACCCTTTTTTTGGTTCTGATTTCCCTTATCAAGTAACCAGCCCAAAAAAAAGGGTGCCCTTATTATCATAGTTATGATATGGCTCCGGGAGCTACCAAGGCTTGCACGCTGGAGATGATGAAAGTGTGGCAGGACGACAAAGCCCATCTGAAGTCGACCAGGAACTGAGAAAAGAGCTGGGCGACCCAAGTGTCATGCAGCGGGTGCAGGATTTCGCTTCGAATCTCCAGCTTCTCACCAAAGTGATCCAGGAGAATTCGTTGGTGCAGCAGCTAGCCATCGTGGATCCGGTGGTCGCTCAAGTGATCAACAGCCCCGAAGCATTGCAGAAGATTTTCAGCAGTGAGGTCTTAGGCATGATACAGCAAGACCAGAATCCAGACCAGCTTGTACTGGAACCTGTCGTGGATTCCTCACTGGCGTACATGTAGTGGAGGGCCTTAACTCGCCTCCAGTTTGCGGGCCCAGGGCAAGTGCGCTCCATGTGGTGCTGATGCTGTTCGTGCGACTCAGAATCGGTGCAGGATGCACAAGACACCTTAAATTCGATGTGGTCCGTCAAACTGATCCGTAGACAGTAGCAATCGTAGGGTTAGTTGTCGGCACCACAACATATGGCTGCGCTCTGACCCAGCGGCGCCAGAAAAGCTTTTTTCTGCTTGTCGTTTTCAAACCGGGAAGTAAGGGCAGCAAACGTGACATCAACCTATCTGGACAGATCGACGGACATTGCCACAAAGTTAGATGGTGAAGTCCGGTGGGAGCTGTGATCGGCATTCCCTGGGCCATGGTGACGAGGGCTGTAGGATAACTGAAGTGCCACAATCCTTGGACCCAGAGTCGGCCCGTATTCCCTTTTGTTAGGGTTTAGGTTCCCTTATGAGCCCCATGCACCCTTCTTACTCGAAGGTCACTTTTGGGTTTAGTTGCTTGCTGAGCCAGGCTGAGTGGCGCTACAACTGGCAGCTGCGAACGCTCTTCACTGCAAAGCGGGGGGAGGGGGAGTAAGGGGAAAATGGGCAGTTCTCTCTCAATTTAAGCCCATATCATTCCATGTCTAGCATGACTTGTACCCAAAAAGGGACATAATACCGCAAATGTCAAAGGGAGGCCTCTCAGGTTGGTGTCTTTGGGGTGTCGGGCCTACGTGAACCCCAAAAGCCCGCCCCGTAAACCTGTACCAAAAGGAACAATGGTAGGAACAATAGCAGTATTGATACAGTATTACTAGTATTGACAACAGGAATAGAGAGGCTCGGTCTGTTGCAGACTCTGGGCGTTGCCAGTTGGGCTGTTGACAGCGCAAGATTTTTTCAATTGCATTCTTCCGAAGCCGGCCAGGGTCTGATAGTAGACGCGTGTCTGATTTCCCAACTCGTGCGAAAAAAACACTTGCGGGAGCATCACCTCGAAAAACCGGCTCGATCTGTCGGGGTCGGAGCCAGATGATACTTCCGACTCTGGTTTTTCTGACTGATCTGGACCTGGCGTGCTAATGCTAGGATGGCGGTGGCTTGTGAAGCTGCTGTCCTCATATGAGCACGCAAGAGTAGCGTCTGGGGCCTCTGGAGCATCTGGCATAGCAAGCCGGAGTGCCCACAAGCTGCCGGACACAGCACAGCGCGCTTGACTTTGGGGCTTTTGTCAGGCGATATGGATGCTCACTGAAACTTGGCACTCCTTTTGCGAGTGCGATGCCTTGGTGTACGAGCTTGAAGTGAAGCAGGTTTTTCTTGATCCCCCTTTCAGGGAGATCAGCCCTGGTTCTAAGCTCAGACACCCTGAACCCTAACCAAGCTCTGAGATCCGAAACACCAGAATCATGGCTCCAGGGTTGTGCCACGCGTGGGTGTTTCTTAGTTTCAGGCATATCTTGGGCTTAAGTGTTTAGGGGCTTGGAGACATTCGGTTTAAGCTTTCCGGGTCCAGAGCCTACCTCTAAAGCCTACAGACCCTGCAAAGCCTGAACCCTGTTAGAAATCCGGCTGATGCTTCCGATCCTGGTTCTTACAGTGTTGCTTACTTGGCGTGCTAATGCTAGGATGGCGGTTGCTTATGAAGCTGCGGTCCTCATATGAGCACGCAAGAGTAACGTCTGGGGCCTCTGGAGCACCTGGCCTAGCAAGCCGGAATGCCCGAAAAGCTGTCAGACACAACACCCAGCACCCAATGAATCCCTAAACCCCCTCAACTCCCAACCCTATGCCAGCTACCCCTGCAGCGCCCGCCGTTGCAGGACTGCGCTGGCTTTGCAGTCGGAGATTCTCGCGGCATACCAGGCGCCCGCTCGAACATGAGACTGCTGCTGAAGCTACCCAAAATTTATCAAACTAGGTTGGCCCTTGGGATGTTTACATACTTTCCTCTTGACGATGGTGCGCCATGGGAGTGCAGTTTTTCTAACATGCTCGCTACGACTCTGGCACACAAGTTTTTGGGGGGTTTCTAAGTGACCCTAAACCCGAAACCCTAAACCCTAAACCCACAACCCTAACCCCGCGGGGTCACAGTAGTTTAAAGGCCAACCCAGCAAGCTACACTACATCAAGCCACCCATGCCAGTGCCTCTTCCGTTGGCCACGGTCATCTTCCGTACCTCGCAGGGGTTTAGGGTTTAGGGTTTAGGGTTTAGGGTTTAGGGTTTAGGGTTGAGGGCCTCAGTGGTACCCTTTTCCCCTTGCTTTGGGGCGGTGTGGTTTCTGTAGGGTCTCGGCGCGCCGCTCAGCTTTGATCATCCCTACGGCCAAAGAGCCCAATGCCCCTTAATTAAGGCCTAAATCATATCTAGGATTCCTACAATGTAGATTAAAGTATATTCTTTCTCTAGGGGGGTATTGGGCTCTTTGGGCACACTACATCTTCGCTCCTACACAAAGCATGGAAGTCCCGAAAGCCGATCGAAACCCTCTCGACGAAAGTCGGAAGAAACTGCGAGAGAACATATAAACCTGTACACCACAAACATATTCACCCCTGAATTTTGGGATGTTCCTCCTGATACTAGTAGCAGTCCTTATTACGGATTATAGTACCCCCTACAATAATCCCGATTAAGGGCTGTCAGTACAAGAGGGACCATGCCAACCTAAACCCTCAACCCGAACCCCCAAACCCTAAACCCCTAAACTTGTGACGGGCGTGGTGCCAGAAGTATTGGGTTTTAGTAAAACTAAATAAATACAAGAAGAAATACAAAAAAAGTACAAACGGGGAATGCAAGAAAAATACGAGCGCAGAAAAGCCAGCCGAACAAAGTGCAAAAAAAATACAAGAAAATTACAAAAAAAACACAAGCAACTTACAAGACAATACAAGAAAAATACAAAAAAAAAACACAAGAAAAACACAAGAAATATACAAGAAAAATACAAGAACAATACAAGAAAAATACAAGGAACATACAAGAAAATTACAAGAAAAATGCAAGAAAAGTACAAGAAAAACACAAGAGCAAATACAAGAAAAATACAAGAGGCGCGGAGGCGCGGGGGGGGGGGGGGGGGGGGGCCCCTTGTGTTTT